TCCTTCATAAGCTAAAGGCCACCATTTCTTTCACCCAAATGAGGCTCAGATGTCCCTCCCTTCATACCAACTGTCTTTGACCACAGCCCTGTCCAAAAAATATCTCCTCTCAAAAGAAAAAAAAAAAAAACAACCAGCAGAGATAAGCCCTGGCGGCTTATTAGACAGACTTCAGACAGAGTTCCCGAAGGCGTGCGCAAAAACTAACCCACCAGGCTTGGCCGCCCACCACACTCCAGTGATAGTCGAGCTCTTATTGACAGCCATGCCTGCATGAGTTCAACAATACCCCATCTCTGAAACGGCCAGACAGGAGGTAGCCCCTCACATTAAGAGGTTGATAAACTTTCAAATATTAACTCCCCACAAGTCTCCATAAAACACCCCATTCCAGCTGATATAAAAACCCAAATCATCAGATTGCAGGCTGGTTCAAGACTAAAAACATTAACCGGCGAGTAATAACTCCACATCCTACTGTCCCCAACCCATGTACCCTTCTGAGTTTGCTGCCTCCTAACCACCAAATATACTGTGCTAGATTTAAAAGATGCTTTTTTCAGTGTTCCCCTTGGGCCAGCTACCCAGCCTATGTTCACTTTCAAATAAACTTACCCAGTTTCCAGCAACTCCTGCCAGCTCACCTAGACCCGGCTGCCTCAAAGACTCAAAATACACCCACCCTGTTCGGCTAGGCCCTCCAAAAAACCTTGGTGAGTTTTCAGTCTCACCACCCTAACCTCACCCTGCTTCAATGTATAGATGATTTGTTATTAGCTGCTACTAGCTATTCAAAATGCCCTCAAGAGTTGCGAGGGCTTCTTCAGCTATTGGAGGAGTTGGGCTACCGCATGTCAGCCAAAAAGGCACAACTCTGTGCCCCTAAAATACCACACCTAAAATATAAAATCTCAAAAAGAAAGAGCTTTGTCCCAAGCCAAAAAAGGGCCATCCTCCAGATATCCACACCAACTACCAAAAACCAGCTCTGGCTCTGACACTACCTGATGTTACTAAACCTTTTCATCTATTTATCCATGAGATTAAAAAAAAACTGCTAAGAGAGTTCTAATACAGTCCTTAAAACCCTAAAAGTGCCCTGTGGCCTATCTCTCTAAAAGAACAGATCCTGTGGCCTCAGGATGGCCTTCATGTCTTGGGGCAATAGCTGCTACAGCTTTATTGGTCAAAGAGGCTGCTGATTTAACCCTCAGACAAAACCTGGACCCAACTGCCCCTCATTCAATAGAGACTCTGCTCAGGGGAGAGCTACGAACAAATAGATGCCAAATGCCCACCCCACTCAGTATCAAAACCTCTTGCTCAACCAGCCTCGAACAGTCTTCTCAACAAGACAGGTCCTCAGTCCGGCTACACTGATGCCAGATGATGACCCCGGCATCCCACTTCATGACTATAAAGAGGTGCTAGACCAGACGCTGGGGAGGGACTGATCAAACTTTAACAGACACTCCCTTGACTGAGAGAGACAACACCCTCTTCACAGATAAAAACAACTTGAGGATAAGCAGAGTGCAGAGGGCAAGAGCTACAATAACTATGGTTAATAAAGTCAGTTGGGCCCAGCCTCTGCCCAAGGAGACCTTGGCCCAAAAGATAAAACTGATTGCCTTGGCCCAGGCCTTAAAATAAATAAATAAATAAATAAATAGACTGACAATCGATATGCGTTTGCTACTGTACATGTCCACACAAACATCTACAAGGAGAGAAGGCTTCTGACAGCCACAAAAAAGACTGTCAAAAACAAAAAAGAGAGGGGCCGGAGATTTAGCTCAGTGGTTTCGCCGCCTGCTGCGCAAGAGCAAGGACCTGAGTTCGATTCCCGGTACCAAAAAAAAAAGAGAGAGAGATTGTCTCTCCTAGAGATATTGTCTCTCCTAGAGATATTGTCTCTCCTAGATATTGCTCCCAACTAGCCCCACTTACAATAAAAAATAAAAAACAAGCCTGGCTACAAACAAAAAAAGATCCCCAAGACTGATAAAAATGTCCAGATAGTCACATCTACCTCCCCCAGACATTAAAACAACAGCTCATCCAGCAGCTGCATTTGGTCACACACCAGGGAGGCTCCAAGATGGCTGGGCTTCCAGCTCCAAGATACTGCTTTTCAAACCCTCAAGAGCTGACCCACCAGAGCTCTTTTAGGTGCCCAACCTGTATACAAATAAATCCCTGCCAGGGCCCATGTATACCCCTCAGGGTCAGATTCCGAGATAAAAATCCCCCAAAACACTAAAAAATAGATTTCACAGAGCTCAAACCACCAGTGGGCTGCTATTGCTACCTCCTGGTTTTCATAGATACCGTCTCAGGTTGGACAGAGGTCTGTGCTACTCAGTGAGAGACTGCCACTATAGTGACAAAAAAACTTCTTCAAAAATTAATTCCCAGATTCAAACTACCAGTGTCCATTAAATCTGACAATGGCCCTGCCTTTGTAGCCTCTGTAACTCAGTCCCATAAGACACTAGATATAACTTTAAAACTCCACTGTGCCTACCAACCCCAAAGCTCGAGACAAATAAAACAGATAAATCAGACCCTAAAATCTAACTAAACTGATGTTAAAAACTGATAGAGGATGGGTCAGCCTGCTGCCTTTGGCTGTCCTTAGAGTTAGACACACTCTTTATAAAAGAAGTTTTACTCCTTATAAAATTATGTTTAAAAGTCCCCTTCCCCTGCTCCCCAAGGTTAAAAATAAGATACTAAAACAATTTTCTAACCAGTCCCTGTTAAAATATCTCCATAAAGTCTCATAAAGAAGATGTGTCTTTTAAATAAAATGGAGTACTACTCAGCCATAAAGAATGACAAACTAGAGACATTTATAGCTAAATGGATACATATTGAGGTTCTTAAGTGAAATAAATAGGACACACATGTGTAAGTACCGAATAGTTTTTCTAGTGTGAGAAACTGAAAGTGTAAATAAGGACTAAAAGGTATAATAGATAATGTGAAATAGGAAGACAAGGGGCAAAGGGGAAGGGGAAGTGGGAGGGCTAGGGGAAAGGAAAGCAGGGAATGGAATTAATATGAGAAAATGAAAAAATGGAAACAAAGTCTTTGTAAATAGGGAGGGATGGAGGGGTTGAAGGGAGGCCAGGGGAAGGGGGAAAAATAAGAACCAAGAGAGATTATGTAAAGGTGCAAATTTCCAATGATGAATGTCATTATATTGTATACCTACAATGTACCAATAAAATAAAATTTTTTAAAAAAAGATTGGAGTTTCAGGTCCTTTTTTATGACTGAGTCTTTTATATGTTTAGAGTACTTCTGATCGCAGTGGAAAAGGTTTCTTTGCTCTAACAGGGCAATCTTGCCTAAGGCAATAGAACAGGCAAGGTGGGCAGGCCCTGCGCAGGTGCTGTGGATTCTGGAGAGTTACAGAAAACCCCAGTCTTGCTCACTATGCCTTCTAGGGAGGGGCCAGAATACCGGAGCTTTTCTTTCCCATGTCGCCATGAACACGTCCTCCACATCCTTCCAGGCAGGGAAAGCTGGTCCCCACATTCACGCCTGCCCCATCACCCTGTCCCACCTTCTGCTCCACTCTTCCAAAACACTCGGCCTCAACTTTCTGCGGCACTTACTTTCTCCCCAGGCAGTCACCTCTGCTGGACACGGTTTCCGTCTCTCACTGACCCTGCCCTTGGCAGGACAGGTGCCGCTCTGCCTCCTTGCGGTCCCAGAGCCCTGGCACACAGCAGGCGCTCCGGCCCGTGGGGAGGTAGGTGGGACTGTCCAGTGCGGGGTTCACTGCCCCACCGTGGCTGCCGCCTTGCTCTGCCCACCCCGAGCTCCCTGCATGGCCTTTTCCTCGACTGTGCAGTGACACTATCTCTGTCTGAGTCTTGCTCTGCTTCTTCAGCTCCTTTTTCCTTTAAACCCCATGTCCTCTGAGAATATCTTTCACGTGTGCTGTTCTCCAAGCCGGCTTCCCTGCTGGGAAGAAAATGTAGCCACCCATTGGCACGAATACAGCAGTATGCTTGGCAATTACATTCAGGTTTTGTAAAAATAGTGCTTATTTTTTTCAATTATAGAAAGAATGCAAGCTTACAATAGAAAATTGGGAAGTATTAAAAACTAGAAAAGAAGAAATAATTATCCATGATTTCACTGCCTGGAACACCCACTGCTAACATTTTAGTGTATTTCCTTGCAGTCATTTTCTATGAATATTTAAGTGGTTGGATTCATTTTCTAGGTACACTTTCACACTTTTAATTTAAAGTTGCCACATGAGCATTGCATTTGTCTCTGGTGCACAAACATATAGGTGCATACTATTTGGGCATTTACATAAACTCTTCATAAATATCGGTAAAATTAAAAGCTTATGTATTGAGCTGCAGGTGTAACAAGCAGAGGACTTGCCTGGCATGTGTGGGGCCTTCGATTTCATTCCTAACACTGAAAAAAACCTCACAAAAGAATAAAAAATAAAACAGATATATTTACACTAGTGATAGAACCTCATTGTAACAAAAGAAAAAAATAAGAGGAATGTGTAATTTGGAAAGGGAAAGTTCCTCATCCCCCCTCCCCTCAGATATTAGCATCATTATTGGTAAAGCTTTTCTATACATATATTAACATTAGCATGTTTAAACACATGTACACCCTTTAATTTCTATCCTTTAATGGCTGCATTGCAAAGTTGTGAGGAGATAGTAAAACATGCTGATTAAATGTGGGCTGCTCTCGCATAGTCTCAGCATCTGTCTCCTCCCCCTTCCCTGAGGCAACAACAGAGAGAGATCTGCAGCCCATCCTCCTCCCAGTGCCCTCATGAGCACATGTGTGCATGTACACATACTCCTTTTCGTGCTGTGCATGGCCGCTTTTGCACTAGAGCAGCAGACTTGAGTAAATGCCAGGGATGGTATGGCTCTCAAGCCACGTGACCTTCCCACCTGCCTTATGGCTCTTTCTGTGTATTAACAGACAGAAATACAAAGGCATTAAATTCAAGGAAAAATCAAGTTTTATTTGGAAAATAGCACTGCAATGGGAATATGCACACTACAGTACTCCATTAGCATATTCAAAGAGGTTGAAGCAGAAGGAAGTTTGTGTTTTTTTTGGTACCGGGGATTCAACTCGGGACCTTGTGCTTTCGAGGTAGGCCGTGGAACCACTGAGCTAAATCCCTGGCCCAGAAGGAAGTTTTAAAAAGCAAAAATGGGGAGGATGACATCAAATATTTTCAAACAATAATTCTCCATCACTGTGATCGATACTGACATTCATCTGAGATTGAACAGACAATTGCTGGGCAGATACCCTTGCGGAGGGACTTCATGTCTAAGGCCGTGGTGATCTCCACAAACTAGGGTTCTGGCAGTCTTCTGTGATAATTATTGTCAAGCAGTCACGTGTAAGAACCCTTCCCTCATAACCTCCTGGCTTTACTTTTTGGTAGGGTTGACATAAGTGACTCCATTTTGATTTTGACAACTTTCACACATGACCAAAGGGACTTTGTAGATCAATTCAAGTACATTGACTTGAACATGTGGAAGTTATCCTGGATTATCTGAGGGGGCCCAATGTGATCACATGGGCCTTTAAAAACAGAAGAGGGCCAGGTGTGGTATTGAACACCTGAAATCCCAGCAACGGAGAAGCTGAGGCCAACCTGAACTACAAAGCAAGACCCTGTCTCAAAACAAAATAAAATCAAACCCATAAGCAAAAGCACAGGAGGAAGGAGAGAGATTTGAAGCACTGAGGGCTTGAAGCTGGAGGAGACCATGTGGCAGGAAACAGAACCCTCAATCCTCCAACCACATGGAGTCCAATCCTGCCAACCCCTGAAAGAGCCGCACCCACAGAAGCAAAGAAAATGATCTGAGAATTTAAGTCACCAGGTCTATGGTCATCTGACAGCCGAGTAAATAACGAGTACAGATTTGTTTTGTCCTGTAGCTATTTACTGGCTGGCTCTTCACAGGAAATGTTTACCCAGCCTAGGTGTGACTGCCTCATTTCCTCGAGAGCTTCGAACACTCACAGTGGAGTTGCACTTATTCGCCCTCAAGAACACAAGGTTTCTCAGATGTGCGAGTGCCAGAGCACCAGCAAGGTCCGTGTGTTCATGGCTCCATCCTTTTTCAGGACTGGTTTCTAAGATCATGGTTTCTGCTTCAAGAAGCACACTTGCGGGGAATTTTTTCAGACATTACAACATTGCCTTCCAAAGATGCATCAGGTGGGCAGAGGAGGCTGAGAAGACAGATCCAAGGTGGCAGGTCAGGCTATGGGGAGGGTGCAAGGACTCTGAACTCTGGAAGGCAGCAGAGCCAACGAACAAGGTTCTCTGATGGACCCAGAAGGTGGCATCTAGACTCCAGTCTTCAGTCCCTCCTTGATCGCTAAGGAGTCTATAATATCCGTAGCTGAGACGTTCGTTACACAGGGCAGCTGCTGACGGCATGTGAGTCATTTCTCTTCACCTCCTAACTCAGTGGCCCTCCTGGCTATCCCATGGGGAAGGCATTATCAGTCCTTTTGTTGTTATTCTTTTTTAGTGCAAGGTTTGAATCCAGAGGTTCTCTACCACTAAGCTGCAACCCCAGCCCTTTTAATTTTTAATTTTGAGACAGGGTCTTACTAAATTTCCCAAACTGGCCTCAAATTCGCCATCCTCCTGCCTCAGCCTCCGTGCTACTGAGCCCAGCACCAACCCTGTTTTAAATGGCAAGAGGAGTAACATGTGCAATGAATGGTCTGTCCCTGAAGAGAGCACTGTGGCCTTTGAACACAGCCATGGTGACACTAAAGTGCAATCTCCACCTACCCTGCGGAGGGGTAAGGCAATCTCACACCCCCTTCTGAGGAAGCCTGCTTGTCTCCCCATCCTGCTGAGTAAGGACCAAGGCCAAGAAGCCAAGGTCCAGGAGAAATGGACATAGGGGGGGAGGAACTGACCGGGCACAAGGGAGACTTCTGGAGGTGCTGGTCCTGTTGTCTTCCCTCTGGATACTGATTGGAGGGTGTGTTCACTGTGAGAAAATGCACTGAGTTGCAGATGTACCAGCTGTGAGTGTTTTGAATGTATATTAGAGTTTGATTTTTTTGTTGTTTTGAGACAGGATCTCACTATGTATTCCAGGCTGGCCTTAAATTCACTACAGTATGTAGCCCAGGCTGGCCCTAAACTCATGGTGATCCTCCTGCCTCAGCCTTCTGAGTGCTAGGATCATGAGCATGCACCACCATGCCTGGCCTGGGCTGGAGCTTTGTTTGAGCTGTGTTTGTTTGGGGTTGAAAGGAGAAGCTCTGTGACAAAGCAGCCTGGGTCCAGGTAGGAAGCCCAGTGGGGAAGGAGGGCATGTTTCTAAGCCTCTGCTATTGGAAGTTAACAGTATTGCTTTTGTATTAGATTAAGAGTTTGGCAGCCTCCTCCTTTATCCATGCTTTGCTTTCTGTGTATGTTCATCAACTTTACATTGCTGTGACAAATGCTTGAGACAAACAACTTATAAAGAGGAAAGGTTTCTTTTGGCTCAGTTTTAGAACCTTACATTCCCAGTCACTTGGCCTCTTTGCTTTGTTCTCGTGTAACACAGCACATCATGGCAGGAACACTCTGCAGAGGCGGCCCCATGGCTGCTGGGAAGCAAAGAGAAAGAGGGATGAATGAGCCAGAGTCCCAACATCCCTTCAAGGCCATGCCCCCATGGCCCAACTTCCTCCTCGAGAGGAAGTTTCCTCCATATAAATGTGCTGGGCTAAGGGCAAGTCTGGAGCAGAGGACCTCTGGGAACACTTCCAGTCCAAACTCTAGCAGCATGGGGACATTTCTGATCCAACCAAAAAGGCAGTCTGAAAATAGCAAATGAAAAGTCCCAGAAATAAAAAATTCATACCTTTTAGATGACTTTTCTTAGGCTACATTGTTATAACTGTTTTGTTATTATTAGTTATTGTTGTTAATATCTTACAGTACCTAATTTACAAATTAAACGTCATTGTAGGTGTGCACATAGAGGAAAAGCACAGCATAGATAGGATTTGGTGCCATCCTTGTTTCAAGCACCCATGAGGAATCTTGGAATGTTTTTGATTACTTTTGTTTTCCTGCACAACTTTTCTTTTCCTTGCAGTTAATAATTCTTTTGTTTTCATGTGTTTGGTTTTCTATGTATTTATCATCAGTTTAATCCCAAACTCTATAGCTGTTGTCTGTATTTCTTCATAATGTCATATGCATCCAACATATTGGTTGAATATTTGTTATATATTGGGGATTGAATCCAGGGATGCTCTACCTCTGAGCTACATCCCCATTCCTTTTTATTTTTTCAGACAGAATCTTGTTAAGTTACCCAGCCTGGTCTCAAATTCACCACCCTCTTGCATCAACCTCCAAGGTTGCTGGGATCACAAGTATATACCCCATGCCCAACACCGTCCCCTCCCCTTGAAAGCAAGCTTCTGCTGTCCCCCGAGAGAGGATTGAGACAGAGCAAAGCAGATCCTGTGCTCAACTTACTTTCTCCACCTAGTGCACCTCACACAGGACTCAACTAGAGAGGATCGTCTTATAACACTCCCTCCTCCAGACAACAAAAGCTATTCAGTTACAATCAGGAGACAAAAGGAAAAATGATAATATTTAGAAGAGAAATGTTCTAGACAATGAAAAAAATTATTAAACATCACATATTTTACATCAGTATGCATCCATGTGCACATATACAAAAGAAGGAAAAAGCAATAGATTCACATTTTTTATCATACTTACTTTTTTTTGGTACTGGGGATCAAACTTGGGACCTTGCGCTTACGAGGCAGGTGGTGGAACCACTGAGCTAATTCCCTGGCCATATTTACTTTTTTAAAGGGAGGGATTTATATTGCAGGTCACACTCCATTTCACTGTTCTAAATTTTAAATATAAAAAACCTCAAGTATGAAGAAATACTATAAAGGAATCCCAGAACTGAAATAACTTCAGTTGTTTCTTCATCTACAAATCACTGTATCGTTATCTACAGTGAAAAACAGAAACATCCAGGGCCCATGCCATGGACAGGTTGGAGACAGGAGCCCAAAGAAAGCTGGCAGAGTTCCAGACTTATGAGGAATCTGCAGCGGGGCTCAGCATTACCTGTGTCAGCTGTATGGACTAGGAAGTTGGTTGTGTTAGATTTCCATCACTGTGACAAAGCACCTGAGATAAACCACCTTGAAAGAGGAAAGTTTCATTTGGGCTCACGGTTTCCAAAGTTTCAGTCCATGGTCAGCTGGCCCTGTGGTGAGGTGGCACACCATGGCAGGCAGCATGTGGCAGAGCAAACCTGTTCACTTAAGAGAGGAAGAAACAGTCCTAACATGCCCTTTAAGGTCCGCCCCAAATTACCTAGTTTCTTCCAATAGGCCTGGCCTCTTAAAGACCCCACCAGCTCCCAATAACCATGGGCTGGGAATCAAACCTTCCACACATAAACTTTTGGGGTTCACTTTCAAACCATAGCATTTGTTAAAGGTTAAGTAATAAATGTGCCAATGTAAAGTGTAAATGTTTACATATAATTTGAGGTGTACTTATATATTTTGAATTAGTATATTTTAGCATAAATTTACTGTATGTTTACTATAAATTTATGTGAAATTTTAAATATGTATGTTTATAATGTCCCTGTTCATGAACAACATACTTCCTCATTCCCTGCTCTGGGGAAAACTGTTCCCACTACACTGCCTTTAGGACATACATCATGTTCTGGAAGTCTCTTACGTTATTTTAAATATAGAATTTGCTGACTACCTTCTGAACTGCAGATACTGCCTGGAGCTTTTACCTGTGTTGTCTTGTGTGTGCGTGTGTGTGTGTATGTGTGTATTTTTTGAGGGGGGTACTGGGGATCAAACTCAGGACCTTGTGCTTTCAAGGCAGGTGGCAGAACCATTGAGCTAAACCCCCATCTTGTGTATATTTTTAATTACATCCTCTTCTGGGTCATTTAGGTGACATTCACAGCTTCCAGGTTAGGCAATTCCAGGTTAACTGCACCTTCAGTCAAGCTCCAACACCGAAAATCCTCCTGTAGTAAAGGACCGGGTTACAGTCTCAGCTGGTGCCTGAGAGTAACTGCTTTCTGCAGCCACATGGGGATGTGGAGGGAGTGATGCTGTTATGCTTTATATCTAGATGTCCCCTGAACACCTCTTGCAATTACAGTCCAGGGCGGGTTGGGGAGGGGATTAGGTTACAGAGGTTTCTACACAGCTGCCTGCTGTTAGGAGGTGGGGTCTAATTGGAAAAGGCAGGACACCGTGGGCATGACCCAAAAGGGGATCTCTCCATTCCCGGCTTCTTCCTTGACTCAGTCCACTTCCTGGTCCCCATGCTATAAGCAGCTTTTCCTCCACCAGGCCCCTCTGCCATGCTGTTCTGCCTTGGAGCCACCTGACTATGGATCAAAGCAAGAGCCATAATAAACCTTTCCTCCCTTGAGCTGTGAGTGTCAGGTATTTTGTCCCAGCAATGAGGAAAGTGACTAAAACAAACGCAAATGCCCTGAGAGGCCTCTGTGCCACCTGTTCTGCCAGCCTCTCTCCATCTCTGACAATCAGAATCCTGACCTGTTCATCCTGGACGTCATCCCCAGGCTCAGCCTTGCCATCACAGCTTGATGGCTTTTGATCTCATGTTGGAAACTCATGTTTGCATAGATTTATTTTAGAAGACAGTTGCCACCTTACTTTCCTGCCTCAGCTTCGAACTTTAATCTAGGGATTGTGGTCAGTGACAAAGCTGATGCTGCAGACAGAGGTGAGGGTGACTGTACTCCTAGGGCAGGAGTAGCCCTCTCCTTCTTGAACTCCATCTGCTGCCTGCACTCTGTGCTGGGCCTGCTGTGAGCAAAGGATCTGCCTTAGTCTGTTTCTGTTGCTACCAAAAAAATACCAAAGGCTGGGTAATTTACGAAGGGGAGTAGTTTATTTTGGCTCCCAGTTCCAAAGTCCAGGAGTATCTGCTCAGCTTCTGGTGAGGCTCATGCATTGCCCCATGCATGGCGGAAAAGTCAAAGGGGAAGTGGGCTCCTGTGGAAAGAACACGTTTGCCAGAGAGACTCCGGGGAGGCACTAGGCTTGCTCTATAACCCGCTGACGAGATGTCCAACCCACTCTCCAGGGAGCAACATTAATCCCTTCAAGAGGGTGGAGCCCTAAGGTCAACATCTTTCTGCACTATTATGTCACAGTTAAATTTCAACATGAGTCTGGCAGGGACTAACCAAGTCAAAGCATAGCTTTCTTCTTTTCTAAGGCAAATATACAACTGAATGATTTTTTCCCCTGCATTTTCACTGCAAGAAGCAGTAGCAAACTGGATCCAGAAGTGCTCTTGAATATATAACCTTAAGTTAACCCTCTGATATAGAGCTCAAATTCTTTCCCTTTGTAACATCATGTTTTTCTCCTCCAGTATTTTGACAAATTTCAAATCTCTTCCAAAAGTTAAAAAGAATATGGAAATAATATCACCTATCAGTTCACCAACTGTTAACTTTTGGTTTTTGTTTTTATTTTTTGAGACAGGGTCTTGCTATGTAGTTCAGGCTAGCCTTGAACTCACTATGTAGCCCAGGCTGGCCTTGAACTCATGAAAATCCTCCTGCCTCAGCCTCCCAAATTCTAGAATTACAGATATGCATCACCACACCCGGCTTACCAACTGTTAACATTTTGCCACATTTTGCTTTAGCATTTTTTCTCCCTCTCGGCACATACATTCATACATTCCACACACTAATATACTTTAAAAAAATCTTTGAAAGTGAATTTCAGGCATCATATTTCACCTCTAAATACATCAGCATGGATTTCTTAGACACTCTCTTGTAGCAACAATGTCCTATAAGATTCTAATTTTCAGAAATCGGAAAATGACTACTAAGGCAGCATGCCAGGATAAATAAGGCAAAAAATTCAAATACATTCCATTAGTTTTGCCCACGGCACCTAGAACTCATGGGCACAGCATGTGAGGCATATAACAGGGAAGGCTGCTAGTGACCTCCTACTATTGGCTCTCTCATTTCTTACAGAGAAAGAACACCCAGTTTTAACTTTGCAGAGCCTGCCGGGTGGCTGTCCAGAGGAAGAACTCCATTTCCCATGTTCCTTGTAGCCAGGCTCTACCATGTTGGCACACCACCTGAGTGGCACCTGCAGTTCCCCAGCTGTAGCCTTGGGGAGGACTGGCACCCCCAGCTAGGGCACAGCACGCAGGCAGGATGACCATGGTACGTCACGCGTGCAGCATGGCAGAGGTGAGTGCAGAGTGCACTGTGGTGGGGAGAGAGCACAGAGGTAGGAAGCAAAGAGTATGGATGTGCAGGATGAGCTGTGCCCAGCCTTGTGAACAGGGATGGAGGTAGGAGGAGCCAGGGCCCCTGGCACACAGAAGCCTCCTGCCAGCCTGGACAGCTAGTGCCCGTACTGTTTCAAAGGCCACATACACATCTTTGTTTTGATTTTGGGACCTTCTTTTTTTTAGAGTAGCCTATGTGCAAATGGAGACCAAAGCCATAATCAACATCTTCTCCCTCTCCCTTCCTTCTTCCTTTCCCATGACCATGCTCCGGGTATAGTGGCAC